GATATCAACACTAATATTTTTACAGTTATTAATGTTAATTTGGGGCATTACACTATTATTTAAAGGCTTGTTACGATCTTTATTATTACTTTCTTGTAATGCGGGGCTTGTTTATTTTGAGGAAGTGCGATATGGAATTTTAAAAGGTTTAGACCAGTCGTGTGGAGTTTTGAGAACCTTGCGCTTTTTTCTAGAATTATGAGAATTCGATTCTACATTTGATGGTAACGGAGCTAAGGGAATTCTTTCTATATTTAAAAAAAAAAATTCTCAATTTCTTAATTTGTTTTATTAAAAAAAAAAAAAAATCTTACTTTTTTTATTTGCATCCTCATTTTTATTGCCATCATCGTGAATTTCTTTCTTATTACCATAATCTTTATCGTGGCTTTCTTTCTGATTACCAGAATATTCTTTATTGTGATCTTCTTTCTTATCATTATTGTTGAATTCAGAAGAATTGCGATCTGGAATAATTAAAGACACCATATTATGCATTATTTGTGGTATAAAAGTTTGGTAAGACATTACACCATTAAGAGTATGATGTCCTGAAAAAGGCATTATACGATCGGTAGCAACATTTAATTCGGTAAGGATCTGAATAGCAGTACGGCGTAATGAATGGTTTGTGATTTTCCTTAAGTGCATTGATATTCCTGTGACTTTACAAATTTCACGAATCATATTTTTATGAGAGTGCTATCCAAGAGAATTATCAACAAACCAAATACCACGCAAATTGTCTAAATAAATTAAAATTTAATAGTATAATTTTATAGTTAACAAAAATAACAATACAATTAAAATACCTTTTTTGCAAGCTATTTGTAAAAAAAATTCTTGTGTAATAAAACCAGAAGAACGTTTATTAATATAATAAAGAATATCTGCGACAGGAGTAAATTTGCCATCTTGATCAGGTGGAATTTCACATTTATGTCCTGCATTATCAAGATTTTTAATGGCTTCGGTATTATTTTTTTCTCGTGGAATGATTTTGTTTCTATTCTAAACAAACTAATTGCATTAACTTCAATAGAAAGAAGAAACGTATATATGAAAATAATAAGCTGTGTGCAGGTTTCTATTCTACACAATTTGTAGTAGCGGAAATCAGGATAATGGCAGTCTGATCAAAGCTACATACAAGAATTAGATTAGAATAGATACCATTTAACGATTTTACAGCTATAACCCAAATTGGAACATGTAGTTTTAGCGAAATCTATACTGCTACACAGAATAACAGGTTGAAATAGAACAAAAAATGAATATAGTAGGAAAGAGAATCATACAGTTGTGTTAAAAGTTCTTAAAGAATCCCAAAATATTAATTCAGAATTTTTAAAAGAGGTAATATTTTTTTTTTTAAAGAGCGGGTACTTTTCCACTATAACTTTATTAAATAAACTGTATAATTATGGTTATAATTTATTATTTAATGCTATATTAGATTAGGACTAATTTATCCTCGTACCAAAT